CGCGCCCCCCCCCGCCAGCGGCGGCAGCAGCAGCGCGGCCGCCCCCCTTCCTTCTGCCTCCTCAGGCGCCCCGGCGGGCGGGAGCCACCTCCCGCGGGCCGCCGTGCGGGGAGGCGCCTGTCCTCCCTCGCAGCGTGGGTGTGGGGGGCCGAGAGCGCCGGCCTGCGAGGGGGCAGAGACAGGGCCCCCGCACGCAGGGCGCAAAGATGCTTCTGGCGCACCTGAGGACACCTGAAAGCGCGTTCTTCCTCAGCGCCCCTGAGGAGCGGGCTTAAACATCACAAAGAGCACGCCTCGGAAACCCCAATGTCACGAAACTGGGTCGTGTAATGTGAATGAGATGAACCTCATTATCTTTCCTTGTGGGCTGGCATGAAGACAGATTCATTTTTTTATGTGCTCTGGCTGAAGTAATTTAGCAGTGCTTCCAATTCTCCATAAACTACTGGTTGCAGGAAATAAATAGCACTTCTTGACTTTTAGGTGCGGTAATTTTGTGTCCTTTCAGTATTTAACAATTCTGAGAAAAAACAAGGCTCCTACCAGAGTGGTACCAGGCAGTTAGTGACCTCACGCTACTACAAGCGGTGTCATCTGCGCAGGTAACATGTCAACCAGCTTTGTGCGCTTGCAGGTGTCTACATGAGATGAAGGGCAGGAGTGAACCAAGCCTGCCTCTTCTGACTTCCTTCTTCTCACACGCGGTTGATGGAGAGACCTGTGCTGCTGCAGCTTGGGTCGTGATGGCTCCAGAAACCAAGCCCTCTGCTCTTGCATCCTCTGTGTACAGCTTTCCTAATCACCAAGTGAAGTGCAGCCGGCTGTAAACGCAACTTGCGAGTCTGCAAACAGCAAAGACACTGCTTACTTGAAGAATGTGATTTGCTTAATTGCGTTCTGCTGCACCAAGACAGAACATCCTTCATCCTCATCAGGGTTATTGGCTCAGCATCTCATTGCTGGCAGGGCACCATTCTTCTGCTGTGCATTTCCCAATACACCCTGTCTTTGTTCCAAGGTTTGCTCTAGCATCAAAGGTCCTGCTTCTGCAGATGCTTTCACCTGAGAGTAGTTTCATTATGTTAAATGAGTGTAACCTGAAACGTGTGCCAGCATTTTGGAAACAGTATAATTAGTCTAACAGTGCACCTGGTTCAGCCACCAAACGCAAGACGTGCTGGCTGGAATGTTATTGCAGCTAAAACGGCATTTCATTTGTGAGCAGCATTCAGCTGACAAAACACAACTCGATCTTAGAGGGGATGGGACCTCTTCAATATTAGATAAAAGAGTAAAGTTAAAAATCACTAACTGCTTTAGAGGCTCCTGTTTCTGAGCAAGGTTGTCTTTATTTACTGAACTCTGGTCCTAACGTCAGCTTTTTCTAGTACTGTGAAAGGGAATAAGAGCTGTGGAGAATGCTTTAATTTATTTTCCTTTAGGAGGGACCAACATAGGTCTCCAGGGCAGTGAGCCTTTTTTTTAGAGCCACATATATATTTATATATATTTTATACTTTTTTTATATGAAAAAATGACAGCAATCATAACATTTTTCAGACATAAACCACTACTCAGATTCTCAACAAAATTTTTTAAATGTAGTTCATGCTTGTATTTCATTGCTGTTCTTTCCACAAAAAGAAGTGAATGTAACTGCCCTCTAAAGGTTGTCTTTTATTTTTTTTCGGTATAGCAATAATGAATTTCTTTTGTCCAGATACGCTCGCTATGTATCAGTCTCCACAGGTTCCTGTGGAAGATTATGGTTTCTTCATGCTTCAATTTACAGCCAGCTGTTTAAGATGTACTGGCATCTCTCATACAATGTTCCTACTCTGTGGACCTTCTTTGGGGATCTTACTAGAAAAATATAGGGATTTGGCTGACAAACTCTACGCTTCTGTTTAATACTCATTTTCTGGGAAATCAGGTTATCCACATTAGATAACATAGGGAGACATCCTGACTCATAATTAAAACTAATGGGACACAGCAGATACTCTGTCAACTTGATTCCTGCCTCCTGAATGTGCAGCTGTAAGTGATATTGTACTACTTTGATTAAGTTTGTACAAACCAGAGAGATGTTAATCAGTTTCAGAAAGCACAAAGCAATTCAGTGCAGGTTTGTTTATGGATTTTGGTTGGCAGGACGGTGCTGGGGCTAAAAATTTAACTAAATAGTGAGAAGTTGAGGCCTATCTGAGATGTAAGAAATCAAAGTAAACCAGGGTATAAACACTTATTCTCAGAAGCATAAGCTGACCTTTAAACGTTCCTAAACATACAAAAACCTGACAACAGGAAATAAAGGCTGTACCTCTGACAGGGAGAAGTTAACCTTTGATCCAACTAGTTAAACAGTATAGAAGTCCTGTCAGTCACAACAACAGTGGCCTTGAAGTTTCCTATCTCAACAACAATTTTAACAGGAACATACAGAATTTAACATAGAAACCACCTTGGGAGACTCTAATGAACAATACGCCTGCTTGTTTTTGAGAGCAGAAGTTGGAAGAGTAAAGAATTCTTGACTTTTAAAATGTTTAACAAGATGATTTCTGATTTAGAATGGCAGTATCTATAGCCTGCCTCCTCATGATACAAGTAGCGAAGGTGACGCGGATACAGGATGCCTCAGACCGCCTGTGTAAGACGACTTCATGTGGGCATGTACTGAATTGATCCCGTGGCAGTGTTCTGTATCCTGGTTGAGACATTAGTGATCCTGATGACTTACGTATTGCATAAATTCATGACAGCCTGGGACAGCTGTCCCAGGTATTTTGGATCCCTGAACATTCATGGGTCTTGTTGAGGATTATAACTCTTCTTATGCCACTTATTTTAGTTGGAGGTAGGGCTTTGCTTTTGTTTTTAGCTAGGGACCACCTTCAGTTCTTCTAGGGAAAAAAAGTGTAGGCAGATTGCAGTCTGGACCATAGATTAAAAGACAATTGAATAATTGCATCCTGTCTTACTGGTATAGTGGACTGCAATCCCATCTTCTGTAGGTCATCCCTTTAGTTTACCTTGATATACTGATGACTACCACCACTAGGGAACCTGCAGCAGCAGCCACTTCAGGGCCGGTGATAACGCTCTGAAGAATTTTAAGGTATAGCTGGTAAAGCAAGCTTTCTGCACTGCCTCTGCTAAGTATAGCTATTTGTACTTAATATTCACTTAGAAAGGAGAGTTATTATTGTTTTTTCCATATATATTCAGGAAATATTGAATGACTTATATTTGAGATGAAAACCTAAGTAACAAGGAAAGCAGAAAGTTGTTTATTTTAACTGGAGAAGTGCATGAGTTTATTAGGACTAAAAGCAACTTTACTTCTTTTTAATCCAGCTAAAATTATTGATATAAATAGGCTGTAATAAGCTATTCCAGATACAACATAAATGGGAATTAAAGGCAGAATGTTACAGAGACAGAAAGCTGGAGATAGGAAGATAACTAATTCTTCAAATATATTAAATGCAAGAAGGCTACACGTTGCTTTCTTTGGTGTATTGATTCTTATACTTGATCTTGCATTGACTGAACTGAACGCAAACACTTTAACACAGAAACAGTATTTTACAGTTGAAGGCATGTCCTCAAATAGACAGGTTCTGCACAAAAGCAGGACTGCATGTAAACTGGACTTAAAACCAGAGAGTTCTAAAAAAAGAACAAAGTCCCGGGTACATATTTTGACTTTATCTACAGTGGCTAAATACCTCAGTGTTTTCTGTAAGTGTGCAAAATGGTGCATGCAATACCACGTCAGCTATCAGATTAAGAGCAGCAGGAAAGTGCCACTTCATTGCATATGCCTAGTCATGGTTACTTTGTACAGGGTATGTACCAACACATGATAAAAATCTTTGTCAAAAGTCACTGTTGTACTTTGAGTGGGAGGCAGAGTAAAAAAGGGTAATTTCAGATGGCTTCCTGGGACACTTGTTCAGAAGAGAGGTGACCTTTGTGAAACAGATTCTTCAGCTTGATACCTCTTTTAAGGTGGGGGAAGTCATCACAGTGGCTTCTTAAAACTTTGCTTAACTCAAGTGAATATTCTAATGCTGTCAAGGACTCTTTAACAGTATGCTGAGACAGAGTTAAATTTAGGTACAATGAAATATTTGCCTATCTAAAAAACAGTAGACTTGCACGATCAAATAGATAAATTGTTCTAAGTGGAAATTACACTATGGAGATCAATACCATCAAGATATCAGGAGGATATTTAAATGGAAAACTCTCCTCAATTATATTGTGCTTTGCACTTAGCACCTTCCTTCTCAGGAACTCAAAACTCTTAGTACGCTAATACTAGTGAATTTAGCCTCACAACATCCAGTGAGGTAGGTAAGTTTACCCCCATTTCACAGATGGGAAAACTGAGGCAGAATTCTGAAGTGACTCACCCAAGGTCCTGCAACTTGTCAGTGGCAAAACCAGGAATATTATTTTCAGAAGTCCAGATCCCAGACCTCTGTCCGATTAAAGTCCCTCCCTACTACCACAAAGCAAGCAATACATGCAGCTTTTTTTCCTCGTACTGCTGCCGTAGTCCTCGTGACACAGAGGAAGTGAATGATTTTTCCTGATTGAATTCCCGCTTTCTTTGGCAAAAAGCACCTGGTTCAGTCAAAGTGCTGTATTACGCTCTTCACAGAGGTGTTTCTTCTGAGGCACAATAGAAAAAAGATGGTTTCCCCATGGCAGGGAGACTGTACAGGTCCAACCAAAGTAGAGTCTTATTTCTTGCAGAAGACCTGCTGCTTGGCATTCTTCACACGTTGTTCCTCCTTCAGGTTCTTCTGCCGCGCATGTTTGCTGGAGATGTGTTCCACGTGTTCTGAGGGGAACCAGCCTCTCTCCCGGTCTGAAAGTTTTACTCCTTCCATCCATCCTGTGGTGTGGGGAAAAGCACAACATGAGGCAAAATAGTAAAGACTTTTTTCATTCTTCCCAAAAAGCCCCCTCCAACAAGGCCCTAAGATCAAAGAAAAAGATCCCCTTTCAGCTTCCACATAAAGTGTCTTAATGAAGATGAAGAGTCTCTTCATCCTCTCAATCCAACAATCAGGAACGAGAAGCTTCTTCCGAAGCCTGTTTGTGTTGTTAAAGCTTTACACTACTAGAGTAACCTCCTACCCATTATTTAAGACAGCCATTGTTCACTCTGCTCACCATCATTGCTGTACTGCATAACCATGATGATATCTGCTTTTTCCAATGCCAGCTCATCATTTTCCCGAGCCTTGTAAGTCTTTATGCATTGAACCTGTGGTGCATCTAAAGGGGAGAAAAGATCATAATGGTATGCTAGAAAGCAACAGTAAATCTGTGTGCATCAGCCCCAGAGGAGGCAGGGGATAAAGGACTGCCCAAACACTAAAGAGCAGAGAACTGGAAGGGAGACTACAGGTCTTCTACCTAATATGAGGAGTAAAAATAGGTAAAATAACTGGCAGAACCTGCCACTGAGGGAAAGCCCATGAATATCTTCTTTATTTACAAAAAGGCAAGTATTCTGCCTTGGAGTCATTTCTGGGATGTTCCACCTCACAGTGACTCCAACTCCTCTGAGCCAGACCACCCCCATTGCTGTAGTAGCAGAGCAGTCTCACCAGGGCATTCCAGGAGGTCCAGTTCTCCTCGTGGAGGAGCCAAAGCAGAGATCCACCTCAGCTTCTCACTGCTGGAAAACATCACCAGATAGGCATCAGGATTCGATGTGAGGGATAGCAGTCTGATGATGGGAATGGGGGTGTGTGTGTACAGGTTTGCTCGCAGGAGGGGTCAGGAAGTGGGTGCTTAGGGGAAGCAGAGAAAGTGGAAGTGGAGAAAGGGGATGGGAAAAGGCAAAACCTATTTTTGGAGGCTGATGGTATGACATAACATGGTAGTATTGTAGGAGCAGCTATGATGAGAGAGGAGCAAGGTGGTTCATTAGGGGCTTGTTATGGGAAGAGGATGTTTTTCAAGTCCTCTGCTCAGCAGCTGCATTTGATATTTCAGCATTTGGGTAGCTGAGGGACAACCATCAGGCTCCTAGGAGGTGTCTCACTATGGTAACAGGATATAGTGAGGGTAACCTTGAGCTCTTACTGTGTCTCTGTTCTTTCCCTGGTAATTCTGAAGTAGAAAGAGACGGAAAACATTTTTGTTTGTTCCATGCAGTTTCATCTCGCACTTCTCCCCACGCACATCCGAGAAAGCGGCATGATCAAACACAACAAAACGTCCACCCCTGCAGGTGAAGAGGAGGAACAAAACAAGTTGTGAATTTTAAGGTGATGAGGGTTACAAAGTGAGTCCATGTTGTTTTTTGTCAGGAAAGCAAAAAGCTTTTAATAAGTCTTTATCTGCTTCAGGCACCTTAGGCTTTGTTCTTGCCAGAAGTCTCAGAAGGCCAGAGAGGAGAAAGGGGACTTAATGAAAAGAGTAGAAACACTAAGCTCTGTCCTGTCAAAATTTTATTTGATAGCTTACAGCTTAAAAACAAAAATACACTCCTCCTCCCAAAACCCCAACACAACCAGCCAACAATTCTCTTAGTTTCTTGACAAACCAGTGATTTGCACATTCACTCATCTTCATACTGTCCTTTAGGAAAAAATTATTTACCAAGTAAAACTAGAATAAACGGCTATTATTAAAGTGTTTCACATTATAGAGATGGAGAGGCAGAATAGAAGTGTTGCACTAGGGACCAGAAGATATCTTGTTATATTATCATATGTTGTAATTAAGAGTTGGGACTATCAGATTCCACGTACTTGCATGATACTCACATAATGTAGGGTTAGGAGAGTGACTTGACAAATGCTGCCACTTGCTGGCAGGCAGAGAGAAAGGACTCTTTCACCAAAGCACAGACCCAGAAAGAGACAGGTATTTTAGAAGGGGCAGCAAGAATTGTGTTGAAGCACTCACTCCTTCGGCCGAGACAGGAGCAGGCAGTCATTGAAAAGATGTAGGTAGATGGGACGGGTGGTGACTTTCCATTTTGGACTCAGGGTGTTGAAGTCCAGTGCTGTCAACTCACCACACTTCACAAGTCGCCTCGACTGTGAGATGAGTGGGAATATCTGCAAGACAGAAATGAACATTTATGTCAAGTATGTACAAGGAAATCAGTATCCATGAGTTTTGGATTTGCATTTTTGCCTTTTTCTAGAGGAAGTGTGCTTTCATCTCTCCAACTGGACAGAAGTAAGTCAGCTGAAGGCTGACACGAACAATTGGGCAAGGGAAGCACTGATGAAGAGCTGACCTGTGTATGATATTCTGGTTCAACAGTTCTGTACATATTGGAGAGGAAAACAAAAAGTAAGCACAAGTGACTTTGTGAGGAAAGAGAAAATACTTGCTAGAGCAAGGCGCGGGGAATAGACAAGCTCACCTTGCACTCAAATTCAATCTTCTGGCTGAGGTAGATCAGCTCTTCAGTGCTCTTCATGCGCTGGACATTTTCATTACAATCCTTGATGAGCTGCAGAGGAAAACAGACGATCAGTGAGGTGGGAGCAGAACTGCCTGGTGGGATCAGTACTACTCCCAGGAGCCCCTCAAGAGTCACTGTAAGCGACAATCCCTTAGGCATCCTCCTGCAAAAAAAGTATTTTTCCAGGTAAGCATACTAAACTTCTCCATACCTACAGTGATCATCCTTCTTTCTTAAGAAAGGTATTCTTTAGATGAAGTCTCTGTGCTAAGTATTGTTTTAACTTTGGGATACTCGGAATAATTTGTTACTGGTGAGGATCAATGACAAGGGCCCTCGACAAAGGTGAATATCAATAAAAAGGACAGGGCCACTTAGGTGCCCTGCAGCTGTATGATGCAGCATGGCTGCACAGAATCACAGAATATCCTGAGTTGGAAGGGACCCATGAGGATCATTGAGTCCAACTCCTGACTCCACATAGGGCAACTTAAAAGTTAAACCATATATCTAAGAGTGTTGACCGAACACTTGAACACCGTCAGGCTTGGGGCCATGACCGCTTTTCTGGGGAGCTTGTTCCAGTGCTTGACCACTGTCTCAGTGAAGAAGTTTTTCCTAATATCCAATCTGAACTTCCCCTGAGCAGCTTTAAACCATTCCCTTGCATCCTGTCACCGGCCACCATGCTGACAAGCACCACCCTCTCCGCTTCCCCTCATGAGGAAGTTGTAGACAGCAAGGAGGTCACCCCTCCGTCTCCTCTCCTGTAAGATGAGCAAACCTAGTATCCTTAGCTGCTCCTCATAAATCACGCCCTCTAGTCCTTTCACCATATTCATTGCCATCCTTTGGACACATTCTCATATTTTTACATCCTTCTTATACTGTGGAGCCCAAAACTGCACACAGTACCTGAGGTGAGGCCACGCCAATGCTGAGTATAGTGGGACAATCGGTTCTTTCAACCGGTTAGCTATGCCGTGCTTATTGCACCCCAGGATACAGTCATCCCTTTTGGCTGCCAGGGCACATGGTTGACTCACATTGAGCTTACCACCAACCCAAACCCCCAGATCCCTTTCTGCAGGGCTGCAGAATGGGTTGACGGCCTTACCGTTTCAAGTGCATCATAGGCCTGTGTTGCTTGCACTTCCTCCTCAGACCCCGGCCGAGTTCTCTTCAGGATATTCTGTGTGAGAGAAGAGGTTTTTCATAATGCAGACAAGGAAAGCTGGACATATGTATCTGGGAGGGGTAGGAGAAACAAGATGACACTAAGATGCCAGCCTGAAGGGAGACTAAAGCAGTAGTAGGTGATGAGATGTGGAGATAACAAGACCAGAAATTTGAGATGCAGAATGGCACTGATGAGCTACATTGAACACGGCATCCCTGATGTATTAACTATCACGTACAAGTTACATGGCATAGGAAGCAACCACTAATCCGAGCACAAACAGCCTTGTGTACAGAATTGTTCTTTGCCTGATACTCTTTTTCGCCTGTTCAAAAAAGGCTCAAATAATCAAAAAGAAGAATTTCATAGAAAGAGCTCAAAATTAATTCATTAGGGACTTGCTGGTTCCCTGTCTGGAAGGTTTCTATCGGTCAATGTTGCAGGCAAAGAGTAGAGACAGGCTGCCTTCCAGAGGGCAGCCAAGGAACCCTTACTTTATTTTCTTAGCAGGAAGCCAGAAAAGTTCAATACAATGTAAATCAACACGTTCTGGTAAGACTCCATAAATTATTTATTGGAGTACAACTGAAGTAGTGTTGCAACAAAGTCCTAACCAGTATACAAACTGCACTGCCTCACAGAGGCTATCGTATCCAATTCATGGTGCTGGTCAAATGGGGTGGTTTTTTTTTTTTTTGCAAGGGCATATTCACAATATATGCAACAAAGTGGCTTTAGAGCATCTTGCCAAACTTGTCACAGATGCAACGCAAAGGGCTGCATGCAGTCCTTCCACCCAGTGCTTGGAGCTAGCTCATATTTATATGACTTTCAGACTCAAAGAAGGGTCTGCTTGCCAGAAACTGTAAGAAGGCAGAGAATCAACACAGTTACCTGTAGGAGGAGTTTGAGTCGAGTGATGCGCTGGAAAGGGAGGATGAGGAAGGATTTAAGTGAGAGGCGCTGGCATACTGGATCACTTTCCAGTCTCTCCAGGACTTGCTGGAACCCTGCATTTCCATTTCTGTGGGAGTGGTAAAGAAAGAAGACATCCTGGCATCAGAGCAAATAAATAGTCTTCCTAATATCAGATTACAGGGAGTGTTGGAGTACTCCCAACAGTCAGATTTTGTCCCTGGGGCAAGAGATATCAAGAAACCGCGCCACTGCCGAGGAAGAGCAAGTATGGGTTTCTAACAGCCACAGAAGGACAACAGTACAGCTGTCATTATATCTTTCCTCTTTCTGCCACAGCCCTCTGGAATAAAAGCCAGAAGTAATATCTACATTTCGATTCCCCCCTATCAGTAGGGCACCTTCCACAGAGACAGCGGTGGTTTGTATTCTTTCCTTCCACTGCATGGTCGAGCTCCAGGAATGTGTCCAGGGTCTGGAAAAAGCTGCCTCCCCTCTCTTGATACTCCTGAGAGGAGCTGCCTTTCCCCCTAATGTCTCTCTTACCCTCTTAGACACAGCCACTGCCATCCAGTTTTCCACATTGGGCAGTAGCAGATAGAAGGCTAATGATATGAGAGTAGCACTGGCCACCAGAATAGCCAGTCCCATATCCTTGAAGAGATGGGGAAGAAGGTTGTAGGCCCAGCAGATGTTGCCCTAGACAATATCCTGGAGGTCCTTTCTGTGTGGAACTGAGGAAGGATTGATACCCTTCCCCCTGAAGGGAATCAATTGGAAGACTAGATCTCTGCCAGTCAGCAGCACCCAGAGACAGTGCCTGAATAGCCTGTCGGAAACGGCGTCTTCTCCTGGAATCACTGTAGCTTCACTGGAACTGGGTTGTTATGAAGGGAAGCAGTGCAGAAGCGGCAAGGAAATCTTGCTCAGGACTGGGTCTGTGCCTAAGCAATGCTTGGTTGTGCCACTGGGAACCAAAAAGGAGAGCAAGAGATGTTCCATTCCACCACCCAGAGCAAAAGAGACCGACAGTGTTCTCTGGCCCCAGGATTTTCAATCCATTTTAAAGACTCCTGGATAGCCAGTTTAAGCTTACTGACAGCAGCCATATTTTTCTTAATTACAGAATCACAGAATAGTTAAGGTTGGAAGTTTCACTTGAAATTATTACTTCCCAGTTCTTAGTAGTTTGAAAACCACAGACTGAAAACCACTATCCAGGACAGTCATTTTTGCTCTCTTCAGTAGAGAGTAGACAGAGAGAATAGCCTGCAATAGAATCAGATATTAATTATTCTTTCCCTTTCCAATGTTATGGGAGGGGAGCCTGGAGCAGCTCTGTCCTGTCGCAAATGCCCTTGAATCGAAGAAGGTTCTTCTGGGGGTGTAGTGTGAGCGTTGGCCAAAAGCCTGTACCTGCTGCATTCCCCATTGTTTGAAAGAGTGAATATTCGAGGTGCAGCAAGCAAGTAAGGGGTGAGAAGTGTGCAACAAATGACAAAACTTACAGTAACCGCTGGAAGGTTTGCTCCTGATACGTCTGGTTTGTTACATATGGTAGATACACCCTGCGGAACTCGGGGGCATGTTTCAGAGCCACATCGCACACATGGAAGGTGAACATGTCCTCCTCAAATTTCTCCTCCAAGTCAAAGAGGAAACTGCAGCACATGGTTGCGGTGCCATAAAAGAAGAGGGAAATACCAGTGTCATTTAGTAAAGCAGGAACATCCTCAGTCCTTTAAAATCCTGACAACCCACATATAAGCACAAGACAGCTCTTTACTTCCAGAGACAGCATAATGCCTGTACAATGACAATTTGGGGCTAGATGTCAGCAAGGAAGAACCGGAGGCAAAAGACCTCTGTTCTTGAGAAGGCATGGTCAGGAAACAACTGAAAATTAAGGCATCACCAGAATAATCCCACTAGTAGACATGGAAAAGGTAGCTGCAAACCTTACTAGCTTAGCAATATATGTAGCCAAGCCTTGCAGGAGAAAAGCAGAACAGAATCCTACAGCATACAGGATTCCTTGCATGCGGGGTCATGTCTACATTTTATGACTTATGCTCAATTGATTCACATTAGGTTCTGTGAAGTGATGGCTGTAACTTACTTTTTTTTTTTTCCTTTTTTTCTTTTTTTCTTTTTTTTTTGGGTCAGGCTCATGCAGCTGCTTCTTTTGTCTTCTATTTGGCAGGAGCTGCATTTAGTTTGGGCTGAGGTCTAGTTAGTCGTTTAGTTGTAGTTGAAGCCAATAGGGCATGGCTACAGTAGCATTTTGAACATTTTGATCTCCTGCAATGAGCTCTATGCACAATTGCACCATAATATCTGGGACTTAACACCAAGATTTACATTGCCCCATCACCTAAAAAGGCCAGTGTTCCTTTCAGGGCAGTGTTGGTATACAATCACAAAGTGCTACCTGTGCGTATCTACCTCGAAAGTCAGTGAATGCACAGAACAGGAGTGAGAGATGTAATTGATGGAAATGATGGGCTGTGTCTGTGCTTCACGGAGGGTGTTAGTTCTGGAAGCAACGGGTCATATCTCACCTGGCGCTGACATCGCGTACATCATTAAGGCGAGAGAAAAGCCACTGACGCTCTTGATTGGTGAGCATTGCCTGGAGCTCTGCTGATCGCTGGAAGTGATCCACTGCCACATTTAAACTGCGCAGGTATGAAGCCTCAGACATTATCAACTCAAACTTGGCCTTGAGAGATGAAATAAGGGAGCGCAGCATCAGTAGACTATGCAAGTCTGTGAGTAATCTTACAGAGAGGAGATGGGCAAAGCAAGAAAACCTCCCAGTACATAATATAAGTAGTGCGTAATTATAGAAGAGAGGCCTTAGGAATGAAGGGCAAGCATGTCATTATATATAGTCTTTCTTTCTTTCTTGAGAAGACAGACTAGCAGTATGACTTCAAAGAAAAATAGCTACCTGCTTTCATTTTACTTTTTATTTCCCCCCAGCTCCACTTTCACTAGGTTCCCTGTTTTACATGCTCCCATATTTTCCAGCATCCCCATCACCCATGTTTTTCTCCATCATGTTTCCCATGCTGTTGTTTTTGCCTCTTTCTCTGGGTCCTCCCATCCACTTCCCAGTTCCTCTCATTTTCCTTACCCAGTTCCTCTGTGTAGCATTTTGCTGAACCCATACATAGTCCTGTTTCCTCTCAGCCCTGCAGCTCACACAGGTCAATTTGGTAAACTCACACTCTACCACAGGAACTACAATTCACTGTGGTTTTATCAGCATCTCTCATAATCTTATGTGTGGGAGAATGCTGGAAGTCTTCTACTTCTCTTTTGCACTGAACATGCTCAAAATTCCTTGTTTTCTCTCGTTTCAATTTCCCCATGTCTGTTTTCATGAAGTTACTGATATGGTCCAGAGTCCGTCCTTCAGTGCTCCTTTTCTCTGCAATTCTGAACTTCAGCACTGTACTACTTCACAAGCACTGGTCCCACATCCCCATACTGCTTACATGCGTAGAGGTGACCTCTGCATTCAAACACCTGCATTGCCGCATCAGAATTTCTGCTCTCCACTTTAACCACCCTTCTGGGGACTCTTTCTTGACTACAGACCACCCATCTACCTTGTAACATCTGTCCATTACCTCTTGCAGCTTCTGCTCATCACGGGACATATTGAGTAGCATTCTGCTGCCCCGTATCATGGGGATGTCCTGCCAGAGGGATGCATTAGATGAGACTGACAGACGTTGCAAATATGAGTCCTGGGGAGACAGCACTTTCCTCCGTAGCCTTGGGGAGCTTGGGAAACTCGACTCTATATCCTCTGTGAAAGAATCCACTCTCTTCTGGCTTTGAATAGCCTTGTTCAGAACCACATCACTGTACTCCTGATACAGCAGTCTTGCTGTGAAGAGAGGCATATACGTTTATACTTTCTATAGCAACTACTCGCCCTCTGCTTCAACCTGGAGAGAACTCTGTTACTGTCTCAGATTAGGATAACAGAATACATTAGCCCACATGCACCTGCTATAAGCAAAGCTCACCAGCTGCCTGAGTATACTGCAGGACTCTGGTTTCACTGCCTCCACCGAACACCACTCTCTAACGCTCCGTCCTTGCTACCATGTGGCAGGAGCCCCTCTCCTTTGTGCTCACTGCAAGGGTGAGAGATTATGGAGGAGAGGGGTCTGCCACAGCACTTCAGGCAGAAGGTACTTACAGGAGTTGATCAGTTTGGAGTGCCGGCGTTTGAAGTTCTCCACTGCATCTGCAGGTTTCTTCTCTCTGTCAGGGAATAAGGATTTGGAAACAAAGAGTGAATGAAGAGCACAGCACCAGAGATGGCTTATCCAAATCTTGTAACAGATCTGTCACAGCAAGGACCTTTCTCTCCAACAACCTCAACCTCCACATGCTTTACTTAACAAAGAACAAAGTTTGGCTTAATGGAAACACTGTCCTAAAGGGACAGAAATACTTCTGTTGCAATGGGGTCCTCTCCCAGAGGGCATAGACTGAAACACAGGCCTAAGTCATTTTATTATAGTTTTCTACTCCTCATCATCATCTTTGGTCCTTCAGGAACAATGGAGAGCATCAAGTGGCTGTGCTACACAGGGATGGGGGCAAATTCTAAGGGACCTTTGAGAGACTTACCGCAATATAACTGTTTCTGAACTGACTGGTGGTTCCCTGTGTGCCTTGTGAGCTTCTTCTTCTGAAGGAACAGAAGGAATTTCTGCATATAAGACAATTAGAAAGTATGAGTCCGTTTTTAAAGTCAAGCTACAATCCAAATGATATACAGATACCACTTACCTATACCGCACCTAAGTGGTAGTCTTGGATTGGGAGTACAGGTGCCCTCCTGACCTTTATTTCTGGGTCAGAAACATTCTAGTTTTAATAATCCTTGACATTACTTACACTTTGCATCTGTTACTTAGCCACATTTGCTTTTCATACAAAGAAAAAAGGCTGACACTTTCAGTGACGACAGTAATTCTAAGAGCTTCCCTCTCCAGTTGCCCAAAGACACTGCCTGTGGGCCCTATTTCATACTGCCTTTCCCCTTTCAGTAGCTTGGGCCAGGCATTGGAGGATCAATGGACCCAAAGTCACTAGTCATGTCTGTATGTAGTAGACTTCCTTTTGTGGACGTTGAGCCCCAAAAAACTCTCAGCAACTTCTGGGGCAGAAATGCTGGACATCTAACAAAGTCAATCCTGTGAAGAGTCTTAGAAGGGACGTGGCCTGAGAATCAACGCTGTAACCCAGTTCTCACATTTACATACTACGTGAGCATTCACAGACTGCTGCTTGAGTCATCTTCTGTTTATGCAAAATGGGGGAAGTGTGGATTTTTCTTTTGTTTTGTGAGGGATTTAATTAAGTTGTGAAGAAATTCTACATAAAATTCATTGGAAGCAGGAGGAGGAAGAAAGCCCAAAGACTGAGTTGCAAGTATGGGTCAGGCGAAAGACAGTTCTGTTGCCTTGAATGTTTTAAAATTTGGAACCAAGAATTTATAGGTCGAACACATGAACAAATCTTGATTCAAGTGCTGCCAAACCCTTTACACCCCTCCACGCTCCCCCTCCTTTTCCTCTATGCCAAAAATCCAGCATGTTGTGGAGCTTGGAAAATAAACTAAGAGCTGAGAAGCAGCAAGTATGTTTAAAGATCATGTAAGATATAATAAAGAACAGACAGGCACCTTGACAGTAAGTACTGTCTGAATGAGCTGTATTACAGAAGATGCATGTTTTCCATTCGTGACATCAGTGATTTGGCTTCTATGCAAGTTGGGACCTTGGATTTGACAAATTTGCATTCTTGTCTGTAATCTCAAATCCTACGTTCTCAGGAAGGTCATCTCTTTCAGAAGGTCAAATTGGAACCTAAAGGTGTCAGTTGCAAAGTAAAGGGAGGTAGCAAATAAACAAGGAATTAAAACATGTGGTAACAGAGACCGGCTACTGAGGGTGTGTGCATGCATTTTCCGTACTGCTTGGAAAAGGGCTGCTGCAAGTGCAGCAAAATTCAACGGCCATGTGATGGCAGCAGAGATGATGAGCAGAAGCTCTGAACTGAGCCCCACCAAGAAACTCATCCCTGGAGGTAGGCCAAAATAGCCTGTGTTACTGAGTAAGGGTGACAGATCATTGAACATGGAGAAGGGACAAGAAGAGAAACTGGATGCAAAGTCAAGGGGTGAGGGATCCGTGAAGAGAGAGAAGCTCTCTGCTGCAGGTGTTAGTGTGAAATGAGGGGACTGCACCCCAGCGTGCAGCCCTACTCAAGAGAACAAGCAGGATGCACTGGTTACAGGGCAGCAGAGAGGAGCTAGGGGAGAGCTGGGAGGGGGGACCTTGGGGCAGGACATCACAGGGCCTACAGGGCTGGAGTAAGAAGTATTACCAGAAAGGCACAAGAACAATGCCGAGCTCTCAGCTCTCATGCCTCTCTATCACATTGCCTATTTAATTGAATCCTACATTTTTGGTATCTGCAATAAGTTGGGGGGGGGGGGGTAGGACACAGAGGAAAGGACTCACCCTGCAAGATGTCTGGTGGTACTGACGTCCTCTTCAGGCCCTGACGGTGCCAGTCCTTGCTTTTTACTCGGCGTTTAATTGGGTTTTCTTGGTTGGCTGCTGGCTCCTGTGCAACTACCCTGATCGTTTTTTTGTCTGGCCAACTTGATGATTTTTCCAAGGGTGAATGTCTGGGCATTTCCTCCTTTGGCTGAGCTAACAAGTGGTGTTCTCCTCCTTCTCCTTCCAGCCTTTGCTTGACCCTCCTCTCACCTTCTGTTTTCTCCGTGATTTCCAGTGGAGCTTGGATGTTCTTTGTCTCCACACCAAAGATGCCTGTCTGTTGCTCCCATCGCAGCTCCCCTGAGACCTCCTCCTCTTGGCAGGTTGTTCTGGTGGTTGGTGGTGATGGAGGGCTGAGCTGGAGGAAGTGGATTGGATTGGTGAATGCTAGCATTGGAAGTGGCTGTGCAGAGTCTCTGCTCTTGGAGTCTGTGGATGTTATCAGGCCTTCCAGCGAGGGCCAAGAAGGGTGGTCAGGTGAGGATTTTCCACACTGTATATCCATGTGCTGGTCCACTGTTTCAGGGCTGGTGGCAGAGCAGCCAGCTAACACTTCACTTCCAACAGCAGAAAAGCTTTTGGCCAACAAACTGACCCCTGAGTCATCAGAAGTCTCTGTATCATGGGTACCTGAGTCACCAAGATCCCACTCTCTAGTTACTGGAACAAGGTCACCTTTCTCTGCTACATCTTCTCCATCAGAAGCAGAGGCCACAGTGTTAGAATCAGGCACAAAGGCAGCAGTCCGGAGAGGATGGCTTATAGTAGGGTTAATGGCTAGTAACTTTTTATCGTCCACACCACAGTTGAGATGTGGCCTGGAGTAGGGTACAGGAGCCAGTGACGGGTAACTTCCAAGGGCTGGAGGTTGAGCAAGGTGATTTGCATTAAGTGCAGGGGCCTGAGCTTGCCTGGGGCTTTGGACATGGGAAGAAGGATGAGGAAGCTGTTTGGCATCAGGCTCAAACACCAGAGGTAGGCTTGAGTGCGACACAGGGGACAGAGGTTGTTCTGGGTGGTTCATGGCAAGGACCACGTCTTCTTCAGAGGGCCAAGTTAGGGTGCTCAGGACACTGGAGATTCTGGATCCAGGCTCTTTTTGGTTTAAACTGCAGTCAGACTGATCAAGTAAAGGCATTTGTTGTGCTTCATGATCTGCATTTGCTCCCATTTCTTTCCCTTGGATAATGGCACTTTTTTCTGGGGGGGTTTGCTGAATTGTCTCTGGGTGGTTCAGGGGAGTGGAAGTCCTGCCTGGTGTTTGGGGTGGTTCCAGAGGCCCTGCAATGATAGCCACAGTCCTCCTATCCTCAGGAAGGCGCCCCTCTAGAGGAACACAGCTCGTGCACATTACAGAGAAAGAAGACGGGCCACTGAGGTCTTCATGAAAGCCTTCCTCAGAAATAAGGAGTTCATGGGAAGTGTTGGCCTCCCCTGGATCAGTACTTAGAATAGCACTTTCCCCTGATGTTGGGTCCCACACTTGTACAGAAGCAGCTTGGTTGGCTGGCTTCCCTACAGAGTCCAGCAGTTTGTTCAGGTTGGTGCCAGGACAGTCCTCAGGGGCCACAGAGGCTGTTCCATTAGCACCCTCTTGCTGTGGGCCAGATGTTGAAGCCACAGAGGTGAGTTCTGAGGGAAAAACTGGAATGAACTCCTGAAGCTCAGCTTTTCCCACATTTTCTGTAATGGGATGAGGACCTATGGGATCAGGTGGCTCCAAGTTCTTGGTGCCAGAGGAAGGGTGTGCTGGAACAGAAGCCTCTGGGTTCTCTGCGCTAGAAGGTGCTGCCACTCCTCCGTGGAGTGATGCATCTCTCTTATCAAACCTCTGGACAGCATTTCCATGCCCATCACTGTGCTCATCATTCCTGCCCAGTCTTGTCCTGTCATCCCAGTCAGCTTCTCCAATATCCTGACCACCGATGGAAAAGCGGCCAGAGTCTTCTAGGTCTTCTGCCTGGTCAGAGATGTGGGATGTGTGTGGAGGCACGATTGGAGTTTCACCCACTGGGTTCAGGTTATTTGAGGACAGAGGGCTGACAGTGGGTGGCTGACATCCAGAACCTGTTTCTGTGACATGAGCTTTCAGCAGTACATCCTCACCAGGATGCTGATCCACAGAGACAGGTTCCCCAGGAAGAAATGCTGATCCTGTTTGCTCAGCCAAAAAATCATTCTCCAAGCCACACAAGTCCACATTATGCCTGGGAACAGAAGATATCTCTGACCCAAAAGCTGATGATAGAGCCTCCAGTTCAAGCTCTGCCTCCAGTTTGAGCTCTTCCCTCTGCAGTTGTTGTTTCTGCTCATTTCGTTCCTTGTTTTTCTGATCTTTGGGCTCCAAAGATATTCCTTCTTCTGGCAGATTCTGCTCTAATTCAGACACTGCCTCCTCCTGTACTGGGTCCTTATGCTGTGAAGTATTCACTTCTTCATTTTTTTTAGCAGTATCCTTTACTTGGAAGGCATTGTCTGCTGGAGAGGCAGGTCTGCCCTCTGTTTTTCTGTGATCATCTTCAAGACAAAGGCATTTGGAAGTGAATGAGTTTTCTTTAGGAACCATTACTGTTCCCTGGTCTTTGACCATGCTGCTATTCCTTGTTTTACCAGCTGAGATGTTTCCTTCTGCTTGTAGTGAACTTATTTGCCTGTCATCTGTTAAGGTGGAAGACAATTGATGGGAAGAGGAAGACTCTGTATTCTCTTCCGAACCCTGGAGTGTTCTTATGCTTCCCTTAGCATCTTCAGAAGTGTACGGTTTAGCCATATCCTCTACTGCTTCCTCTGAGGTAGGTTGCTCATCAGTTGCTGGTGCCACTTTTTTGCTGCTTTGCTTCTGCTCTGCACTAGTATCAACCTCCTGCAAAGAATCCGTGGAGATCTTATCCAGAAATGGCTCAGCCTTATAATGCCCCTCTGAAATGGTTTTACATACCAAGAAGCATTTAGGTGTCTCTCTCTGAGAGGAAATGGCATCAGCCAAAGGAGATTTTGGATGCTGGGCCTGAGGATCTGAGCCACAAAAAGCCAGTTCTGCCTGGCACTGAGGGAATTCAGTGCTGAGGTCCACAGTCTGCAGGATGGCGTTGCCAGGGGCTGGCCCATCCTGGACTGTGCTGAGAGAGGAAGAGTCCTGGTTGCTTTCCAGGTCAACCAGCTCTCCTTGCTTAAGTTTCAGAGCACAATCCAGTCCACCCTCCTCTAAAAGCATTTCTCCTTCCAATTCTAAGAGTCTCTTTTGAGGCTCTGCATCGCCTTGCTCTTGTTCCAGTCCTGCTGGCACTTTTTGCACAGGGTTAGAGGGTCTGCCCAGCATCTCTGCTGCTTTCCCTGGAGCAGAAAGGCAGTCCTCGGGAACGCTGAGCTCTGCTCCCTTTGCGGAGTCAGACAGGCTGGTGCTCATTTTGGCTGATGCGTGAGGGGCATGATGCTCTCTTTTGACTGCTGTAGAATCCTGAGCTTCCACAGTGGTGCTGCTGGCTTCTGGTGGAGTGGTACCTCCCTCACTGGTTTCTTCAGACTCCATCAGTGACACATCCTGCTAAAGAAAAATGCATTTTTCTGTTACTACTACAGGATGATACAGAGGATCTAATTGGCTTAAGAGACTTTTAAAAACACATACTAATGCAGCTGAGAAAAAAGCCAAAAATACATATTCAGTGGGTGATAAGAGTTGGGAAACAAATACCAAGACTGAGAGTAGGCAAACACCCAATGTAAGCTTGCAGTATGAGAGTAATGCCAAAATAAAACTACTAGTGTCTTTTTAGTTTTAGATGCAAATCCAGAAAGGAACTTTGGTCAAAGAGCAGAGATGCTGATCTGTCTGTAATGCCTGCAGTACAACTTATGAAAAGTGTTGGCCATGGCTATCTATCTCAAATCCAAAAGGGGATACCAGAAGGCATTCAGAGAACAAGAAAATCATCAAAATCTCCATTAATTTTTGCGGGCCATGGTGGACGAATACTCATGACCTCTTCTAATGGCTAGCTGAGTCTTAAAGATCTCTTTGATTTCAACAAGGAAAGGCTTGTACTTTAGAGCTGATGGTTCTCTTTACAGATGTCTGTGTATGTATGTGCAACACAGGGCCCTGCTGCAGCTGATCAGAGGAATTGATTAACAAGACATAGGAATGTAAGAATTTGATTAACAGATAACTAGGACATGACACAAGACATTTGAAGGCTGTAAACCACATGGGTTGAGAGGGGTACCTCTGGTGTGTGTGGACATACCTACAGACTACAAAGAGAAACGATATCATCATTTAGTCTACTCTTTTGGGGGGGAGGGGGGAGTCATCTCAGGATTGTTGGACAGTTTCCCAAAGGATATAGTGGAATTTCCCATCCTTTATTGCATTTGAAGTTCAGACATGACAAAGCACTAGGGAATGTACATTTGGGAAATGTCTGTGAAAAGGATAGTTGAATCTGATTCATCGCTTTTATCTTACTGGCTTCTACCTATCCCATGACCCACAATACCTACCTTAAAGGACATGAGAAAGAGACAAACCTTAATGTCTCCCCTCCTTTTTCTTCTGCTTTTGGGACACTTTCTCTAGTGTTCCAGCCTGTCTTCTCTGTTTCCTATTCCCTGCTTATTAGAAATGCCTTATAAATTGCTGCTTCAGGCTGCTTCACATACACCGGGTACCCTTGCAGTCATACCAGAGCTTGTAATTTAGCCCTGAAGGATCTGCTGCAATGTGCAGCCACAGTCAGACTTCCTCCTGAATGAAGCTTCAGCATTCTCCTCCTTCATCCTATCTTACAGATGTTGACGTTTCCAGACATGAATGCGTAGTCCTGCATCTTTTGGTCAGAGAAAGCATTCCACATCTCTTCAGCCCGCTAGCTGTTTAGTGGCAAAAAAGCCTCAACGCCTGGCTCTGGACCGTTCTGAAAGCTCATGCAAGAAAAATTCCTTTTCTTGCTCAAAACAGATGACCAAATCTATATGTTTTTTCTTTCCCTGGCATTCCTAATTTCTATTTTAAGAATAGCGTTTCTGCCAGAGTTTCAACTGCTGTTGAGGGGTGTGTGTGACAATTTCAACTTGGGAGACACAAACAGAGAAAAGAAAGTCTCTGCATGGAAAGAGAAATCTTTGAGATCAATGGTGATTTCCTTGTGCTGGTGTGGCTCTATAGTCACAAGTAACTTTTTCTGATCCCACACAGAAAGTAAAAGCAATAAGGGCACGATTACATCTGGAATAATTGTCCCGGTTAACTTCATGGCCAGGGCACGCCTGACCTGAAAGCTGGTTTAGCTTATATTTTTCCTTACGTCAAGTGAAACAGAACACCTGCTCTGAAAGCAATGAGCCCATGCTCTGGAGTTAGAACTGAAGCGTTTATATACACCTTAATCATGGGGATTGTCAACATCTTACAGCTTTTTAAAAAATGGGGAAAAAATTGAGTTAACTAATTAACTCATCAGTTAACTTTGTCCCTGCGTATTTTTTCTCATGTAATCTTTAATTTTTGTTTATATCAAAAAGATAATCTTTCTTACAAAACCATACCAAAACTGGAATTATTCAGCAATTTGGATTCCCCCCGCCCACAAGTAGTGAGTAGTTGTAAGTAGTTATAATTTCAACAAACAGTACGCTTCAAAAAGATATATCCATTCAGAAAGTTCCCACGGGGCTTCTGCCATGTCTTACTGCTGTCAGCAAATAGTAAACTACTTCAGTGCTGCTAAACCATCTTTAGAAACTGTTGCTCATGGGAAGGTACAGGACTGTCAGGAAGAAGCTCCAGCACAGAAAAAAAGAGAGCTTGGCAGAGCACAGAAAGTAGCAGGGTCATAAACCTGTAAGCAGCCACCTTGTCCAAGACAGGATCAACTTTACCAGTGCTGTCCCCGACAGGTACATCTGCCCCTCCTTTAACAAAGGTTCCATGATCACATCAGGTCGCTCTTGCGCTACACCGCTCTTAGCTCTTCCTGCTACCTAAGTTGAGTCTCCCCTGCTGCATGACTAGAAAAGTACTGCTTATCACACCTAATACAGAGAGTTTTCAAAAACAGGCTCCCCAGGAGCAGAGAGACTGCTTAGGGAGACAGGTGGTCTTGGACACAAGCTGATGGCTAAGGAAGGCTTACTACTAATAAAGACAGGATGGCCTACAAAGCTCTGAATAGCAAGATCCTCAAACTCAAGGCCACACTCTGTGAGGGGAAGAAGAACTCTGCCTCACTGTGCTGTTACAGATGTACACAATACTGAATTTCCTCTTATTAAGCTCAAAGACCCAGTTTCCACTTCCCTGGCTCTGTTGCAAGGGATTTGGACAGGTGAAAGGACAAGTTTAAAGCTGCACTTGGAGTAGTTCCACGATGATGCCGGGAGACAGGATAGAGGGAGGTGCAGCAGATCAACACGGGAAGCTGCCAAGTGAGATTTGTCTCATTGTATTACTGCCAGGTGTTTTGCACACCTCAGGGAGAGCAAGAGAGCAGCTTTGGGAAGTGAGGCAGGAGAAGGGACAGGAAAACTTTCTGCAGAGACAGTGGGGGAGAACTTACGCATCTAGTCAGGGAAACAGTTAAGCTCCTGCTTGAAGGCTGGCTCACTGTAGTGAAAGATGTAGACATCTCTGCAATAAGGTTTTAATGCAGATGGGAGAGAAAACAATAAAACAAGACTGACTATATCTGTAGCCTTCACATACAGAGGAGCTACATTCAAAAGCCTAGTAGTTAGTGGGAGAGATTGCTTGTGGAGCACTGCTGAGTTATGCTCCTGCTACAGGTCAGCTTGGACCTCCACCAAAGGAGGGCCCAGAAGACCCCCCAGGAGCTGGGCAAGCCAAAGCAACCTTTTAATTAGCATTTGCAGTCAGGCCAATAACATGACAGACAAGCATACAGGAGCCTATGTGGCAACTGCCAACTTCTAGCAGGCTACACAAACTCTCCCAGAAACTTCACCGTTACTGCTGTTGGGGCTTACTGGTCTTTCACATCTCTCTGGGTCAGATGTTGAGCACGCCATCTCTCCCTCTGCTCTAACAGCACTTCTCAAGTAAGGTGATCTGATGGCCCCTCTTTAGATAAAGCTAGCCCTACTCTTCTCCCAAGAGGGCCTGGAAATCCAGGAGTTCAGCTCACATACACGCAGCAGTGCCTAGCGCCTAACTCATACGTGATTCTGGATGCACAAGCTGGAACTGTGAGAGGGTGCAGCTGGCTGCATGTCAGCATGAAAACAAAGGGGCAATGCTTCATTGTACTGCAGCAGGGAGCACAAAATTTGAGAGAGGAAGGGTGAGGAAGGTGGCCAGGCAAGCAAAACAGGAGAGCAGTGAAAGTACTGGTGGACAAAGCAATTCCTGCGATGATGCACGCATCCATCCACAGCTTTCCCAGATTACAAAAGGCAATGTGAATGTCATACTTCCTTCCAGTGTGGGTTAATTCACCTGGACGGAGATGACAAACACTTCTGGTTTTAAATAGAAAGTACCTCACCTTCCCTCCCCCCCTCCTCCAACACACAAGAAAGGAGAAATAACAAGTGCTATCAAGCACAGACAAGCCCTTCAGCTAGCCAGGAAACAAGGCAACACAGAATTAAGAGGAGCCCTGAGATCCTCCTCCTCCTCCACAACTCAGGAGAAACCCAGCTTTTCGGTGTGCCCCCTTCACGCTCCCCATGCAGCGCTGGCCCCGGCCCCCGTGGCGGGGCGGCCGTGCTCCCCATCCCGCTCCCCCGGCCGCGGGTGGAGGGGCAGCCCACGCGCCCAGGCTGCTGCCAACACACTCGCGGCAGAGAAAGCCCTGCCCTGCAACGATGGGCTGGGCCCAGCAGCAGCCAGAGACGCCCCACAGCCTGCTGGGCCACTGGTCAGTGCACCAGGGGCTCCTCTCCCCGGCTCTCCTCCTTTTCACCGACACAGCAGCGAGAGCTTCTGGCCGTGAGAGGAGAAAGCCATTCACAACCTTTGAGCAGCATGGACAAGGACATTGATTTTCTTATTGAAACAAAGGCATTCCCAAGCAATCCATCGCTCAGGCGTATCCTTGGTATAGAAATGCCAAAGCCCGCTTTAAGTGCTGCAGCACAGGAAAGAGCTCCATGTAGGCTGTAATACCCACCCGGGGGGCAACACGGCTGCCCCGAGCCCCTTCCTGCTATTTCAGCTCAGCTTAATCATCTCCATCACACAGTTCCGATACACTTTAAAAGGAGCTGGGTCAGTGGGGGCTAGCTCAGAGCCTGCCTTTCTCCATACAAAATCCAGAGCTCACCATGCAGGAGAACTGCCGCCAGAGTTACCATCTCCCCTGGGAGGCCACGCTTTCCTTCAGTTTGGTGAGACACTCAGGAAAGGGGTGGGTGCAACCGCTGTAACACAAAGCCTGCCCTACCACGAGTCTCATTTTTTATTTTGATACAGCTACTCATGCCATGCTTAGGCGTGCTTTCTCAGCTGGATGCCCCCTCCACATAAGAGGTGCCCACTGCATGTATTCCCCTGCAAAGAGACGGTTACCA